TTCTCCTTTCCGGATGAAATATCTCCAATACCATCAACCATGCTGTATCTCATGTCGTTCTAAAAATAGCTCCTCCGTTAGAAGCTCCTCCATTACAGTGAGATGCACTGAATGGATTTAATATTCTGATGTGGTATAACCTGCCCCGAGTTCAGTGGGAAGAGCACCTGCCTTGACCCAGATTTCACGATGGTATCAGGGCTGCCTTCGATTGAGTTGGCTTTTTGTCTGCTTGGTCCTTATCAGTCTTATAAACACCTAAAACTACCAGGCTTTTTTCATAAAAATTGCGGTCGAACCAAGCCTTTCCAACCTATATTTATGTAATTTATTCTGGAGGCATGAATACATTTACATCTATTAAACTAAATGCTTGGTCTGGGATCTTTATTCCAGTCTACTGCAATACATTTGTATTCTGGTTTCATTATTCAGTCTTTCCTAATTTTGTGTCATGTGCAAAATTTGAGAAATATGCTTTATTTTTATCCAAGTGGTCAACAAAAATGTTACCCAAACAGATCCAAAAACAGAGCCCTGTGGGACACCACTGGAGACCTCAGGCTAATAAATGACCTTTTCTTGGATGTTTGACTTATGACTCAACCTAACTCTATGGTCATTAGACCTGCTTTTTTCATGAAGATAGCTTGTTCATAAAGATATCATGCTAGACGCAAACTATTATATGTAGAATGGATAAACAACAAGGTCCTACTGTATAGCACCGGGAACCACATTCAGTATCCTGTGGTAAACCATAATGGAAAAGAGTATGAAGACGAATATATAGATGTATAATTGAATCATGTTGCTGTACAGCAGAAATTAACACAGCATTGTAAATCAACTATATTCCAATAAAAAAATTTTTTTAAAGATACCTGCTAAAACAATGTATGCTTTTACTATTTCAATTTCTTGTGGGTAAAAAAATGGTTGATCTGGAATTATTCCTCCTTAAGAGAAAGGAAGTAGCTTTACATAATCGCAGGGTATGGTGCGAACTTCTACCACCATGTCCCAGAGCTCAGGGCATAGCTACATGGGTTTCTCAGAGCTTTTTAAATTGAGTTGATAAAAATCCAGCGGGTTTGGTAGATCATATTGTGGAAGGGGATCTGACTCAAAGCAGCTGGTAACCAAATTTCATTCAAGTTTCATCTTCTTTTCTGTTGAAGATCGTGGTTGGATCTGGTGCTTGAGATCCACTACACACACAACAGCTCCTTGCAAAGTTTTCCTAAGGACTGCCTCTGAAATCTGCCATCAGAAACCGCATAGGGTGGTGATCATTTTGTAATGAATATAAATATGGAATCACTATGTCGCACGCCTGAGACGAATATATTGTAAGTCAATTATACTTCCATCTGAAAAAAAGAAAAAGAAATCGCATAGGGAGTGAGAGATTGCCAAGGGGATCTATAGCTCCAGGCAAAGGAAAAGAACAGGGGCTGGGTACGGGTTTTTGACACAGGCTGGGACTCAAGGAAGTGGAAGGATTATTACAGCAACCGGGAAGATGAACTCTTGCCTTCCCTTGCAGCCCCTCCTTTGACAGAAGGAGGCTCGTGTGGCTTGGAGGTTGCAGAGGAGTGACCTGGGGTGACCCAGAAAATGTCAGTCCTCATCCGGTCCCTCTCCCCACAGCTTCCATGCCCCGGGGGGGGAGGGATGCCTGGAGGAGAAAACAGGGGGTGGGCGGCAGGAAAGGCATCTGGGGAGGCAAAGGAAGATGAGAGGAGAGCTTAAAATATATGCTGACCACAGTCATTTTGTCTGATTCTTTTCTCAAACACCCCCTTTGGAAAAAAAAGTATCTAAAACAGACCACACAAGTGTTGACAGTAGAAGGAGCGCAGTACCAGAAATCTGAGCCCCGTTGCATTAAGTCCTTCAGGACTGAATTCCTTCCTCTGTAAAATGAGGGCTGTGGTTACCAACTACGGAAGCTCTGTGACCTTCTCAAACGCTAACGTTTTAGGCAGTGGAGTGTCCCACTCTGAAGGGGCAGGGAAGTAGTGGTAATCAGGAGGTTGCAGAAATCGGGGTGAGGCACCCATCCTCTACCACACAGACTCCTCTGCATACCTGGAAAACCTGAAGCCAAGGAGGCAAATCATTACCTGCCCCGATGGAAGGGATGCCAGAAAATGACCACAGGTGGACCACAGAATTTCCAAAGGCATGGCTACACCCTGGAGGCCGAGTTCCCAGATCCGGGATCTCAGCAATCGACACCTGAGAAAGATTTTTCTGAAGCTGCCACCTCCAGTTCTAAAGTAATCTCGTGTTTCAGGTTGGGGCTGGAACAGTGGCAAACCTGCAAACCCGGTAGCAACAGGAGGAAGTGGAAAAGGAGGGAAAGATTGGCGGGGCTCAGTTCGGTTCTCAGGGACGCTGACAAGTCTAGAAATGACGGCAGAAAACCCAGAATGCATGGGGAGGGGATTTCACCGCTGCATTTCCGGGGCCAGACCGTACTCTTGGTTTTGGCAAACTTTCCCTGACAAAAGCCAATGTTCTCACCACATAAATACTCTTCGACATTAATAACAACAGCCTATGAGACCAATATCTGTAAAGATGCCAGGCTGCATGCAGATGAGCTGGAAATACCTTGGAGAGTTTCACAAAGATGAGACACAGGGCAATGAAGCTCCGGGAAAGGAGATGGAGCGTGGATTCTTTAAAGAAGGTGGGAGGGAGAATGCAAACGGCTCACACGTTCAAGCCTTTTAAAATGGGACACGTTTGCCTCAAGCCAGCTGAGTAGCTGCAGCCCTGCCTCGTACCCTTCACAGAAGAGCAGCTGTGGACTTAGGCTGAGTCCCTGAGGGCTGATACCTGAGGTGTCACCGCCATCCAGTGGAACCAGGGGGGATGGCCGCTGTGGACGGCCTCAGCCTAAAGTGAGAGGCAGAGGCGACACTCGGTCTATTTCTCAACTGACAGTGAAAGATGAGGGGAAGGTTGTTGAGCTTCATTTCATTATCACCCATTTAGTCACAAGGGGATGCCGTTCTGGTTTCCAGCCATCAATCAACTGACGTCACTCAAGGACCAGGCTGGGCTAAAGGTGCACATTCTATGTCAGCCCAGGTGGAGACGGAGACTTACAGGAGGGCTTTGAAACACTCTTCTCCAGTAGCATAGCGATCCTCAGAATCCCAAACCTCCAGTCCCTGAGATGTCCCTATTTTAATAAAAGCATTTCATTATGTCCAGAAGACAGAGACCTGAAGTCAGGTTAGCATGGGTGAGGGGACAGGGGTGACAAGTGCTATTTGAATGGGCAGCATTCTTCTGCCACCTGGAAAGTAAAAGAACTCAGTGAGGTGATGATCTACTTGTCCAAACTGTACTTCTTTCTTTTTTTTAATTTTTTAATGTTTTTGGCCATGCCACGTGGCACATGGGATTTTAGTTCCCCAACCAGGGATCGAACCTATACCCCCTGCAGTGCAAGCGTGGAGGCTTAACCACGGGACTGCCAGAGAAGTCCCCAAACTGTATTTCTTGGAGGAGAAACCAATCTCCAGCGATGGGTGCCACTTCCATGCCCTCTCCTGTCTTTTGTTTGTTTGTTTGTTTTTAATTAATTAATTTATTTATTTTTTGGCTGTGTTGGGTCATCGCTGCTGTGCGCAGGCTTTCTCTAGCTGCAGCGAGCAGGGGCTACTTTTCGTTGTGGTGCACAGGTTTCTCACTGCAGTGGATTCTCTTGTTGTGGAGCACGGGCTCTAGGCACACAGGCTTCAGTAGTTGTGACACGTGGGCTTAGTAGTTGTGGCTCGCGGGCTCTTGAACGCAGGCTCAGTAGCTGTGGCACACGGACTTAGTTGCTCCGCAGCATGTGGGATCTTCCCGGGCCAGGGCTTGAACCCCTATCCCTTGCATTGGCGGGCAGATTCTTAACCACTGCGCCACCAGGGAAGCCCCCCTCTCCTGTTTTTGAAGAGGCTTGAGGATGGCCATCATGGGCTACAAAGGCCTGGCACATTCTTTCCTTAATAAGAAAGCAAATTCACAGTATTTTGTGGCTTTACCTCTCCCTCAGCCCCCTTTGCCTGGTTGACAGGCCAGAGACAGAGAAGGAGAGAAAGGAGGGAAGGAAATACATGTTTCTTGAGTATCCACACTGCAATAGATAATATCCATGAAACGATATTGTTTTCTCTTCAGAACAAACCTCACTGGGTTATGGCCTCTTTGGGAAGACTTGAATGGTCTAGAAGGATCCACATCATCATTTGTAATTCCCCTTTTCAATACAAAGCTGGGCTAATGTGAGTGCAAAATCATATGGGAAACAATCAACTAAATCTCCGTGGAATGTCAATATCCCTAATTCCGCAAGCCATTAATTCCTCTCCAACCTCTCCCCAGAAAACTGGGTTTTCTTTGTGATGAGAAGCCAAGCGTCAGGCTCTTAGGCGGTAACTCCCTAACTCAGCTATAATCTCGTAAAGGTCATTCAGTTTCTGCGCATGGGGATTTCTTTTTTTCTTCTTCACCCAAAAGCGAGTTTCAATTGCCCCACCCCACAAAGCCGTTTCTGGGATTAAGCAAATGATCATTGTTAGGTACCCTTGTCTTTTCCGAGAGATATTATGAACCAATTCTGTCAAATTAGGGATCTGAATTTATCCCCTCCTACAATTAAACCTCAGATGAAACGAGAAACTGCCTTTGAGGTCTCCTCCCTGTCTGACCCGGGCTGCCAAACCCCATTCCGAAGTTGCCACTCCTCTGTTTCCTGGAGCAAAACCTCAGGTCCATGACCCTTCCCAGCTTCCCCCTCACCTTTGCCACTCACCCCCAAAACTGGGGAACACACACTTGTCGTAGACGTAAGGAGGAGGAAAGAAAGGTCAAGTCCACACCCAGTGGGACTGAACCTTGAACTTCAGCTCCCACGTGAAGATGAGAGCGAGCCTGCAACTCTCCCCGTGTCCGGTGTCCACCGCTCACACTGCCACAGCAACAGTCCAAGAGCTGCCACCACACCTTTATTGCATCTCCAGTGAAGAACAGTGAGTAACTTATTTTACAAGGCACGCTCCCCCGAGTGGACAATACCCACTTCCAGAACGCGGGGGGTGAACACGGTCTGAGGAGCGAGGGGATGGGAGAAGAATCAGTGCTTAGAGCACTGAGCAGAACTTAGAGCAACCCAGTGCCCACATTCTCCTGGCAGAGAGAAACTGGGCTTGTCCATGCTGGTGAGGGCTGGAGGGAGATCTCCCGGTGAAGCACAGGGGGCAGGGAGGTGAGTCTGGGGACCAACGGTGAGTCTGGGAGTGAATTGGCACTGGGGACCCTGGTTAGGCAGCATCACAGAGGTTAGCAAATTTCGGGTGACTTTTAGCGCCTGCCATCCGGGCATGCAGGGAGGTGTGGGTAAGTTGGCTTCCAGTGTAGATGTGGGCGGGGTGATCTGAGAGACGGGCCTTTGCTGGTTTGCTCAGATAGGCAGCTCTGCTCTGAGCCAAGCGATTCTCACAGAATCAGCCCACAGTTGGAAAAAAGTTGGCTTCTGAGGCTGAATGAGCCAGTGTGTGGTCAGATGACCAGAGCCTGAGTCATGTGTAAGATGGCAGGGATGGTTAAGGGCCACCCTGAGTTGCCCGAGACTCCCACTCGAGAGAAGCAGCCTAACTATGGGACAAAGGAAACAACTACAGTGCTACTGAGGACTGCTGGTCCCGGCGGCCCTCATTAACCCCAGAACAGAAGAATCGTGGCTGAAGGCTGCAGGGAGGCGAGGTCTTCCTGTGATGTTCCGTACAGCTTCCTGGGAAGACTCAGGACTCAGCCCACGTCCCATGAACTCCCCGCTGGCTCTGCTGACTTGCTGTGTTCATCCCACCCTTTGGGACGTGTTAACTGACATCTTTCCTTCCTTCATAGTCACTGTAAGGGCTAACCCGAGACTGGGCCCGCGGAATGGAGAAATCCTTTGGGGAGTTCCGATTCTGAAAAGAAAACACTCGTATTGTTCAACCCACTCCACTTCCCAGCCATTTCCACAGCACTCTGCACTCCAACCTGGGCAGGAGTCTAACTTTCCTTCCCTTCCTCTAAGCCCTCCCCTGCCCTGCACTCCAGTCTCCTGTCCTAATCCCATGAGGCAGATTACAGGAAAGTAGACCCGTGATCCTTTCTAGGTGGCATCTAGGGGCCATCAGAGTGGCAACATCATCTATTCCCAAAGGACAAATGCTCCTGGGTTGCTAACACTGCTGATGAAAAAAAGAGAAAGAGCTCATTTACCTGCAGCTGGAAATGGGTGGAGTACGGGGCATAGAACGTGTCACCTGTCTCTTCAGTACCTGAAACAGACAATGCAGATTAGGTCAATGTCAGGGTTCCCTCCTTGACAGCCCCCACTTCTGCTCGCCCCAGTTATTTATAAAGCATGATGCTTTATCCCTTTAATTTTCTGTCTCCCTGGTAGATGGTCAGTTTCATGTGGAGGAGACTGTGTCCTCAAGCCCAGGCACAGAGTCAGCCCAAAACTGGTTGAACAAATGAACAACTAGCTACATATAATCACTAGGGAAATGCTTTCCAAAACCTCTCCAGAGCCCTCCTCATCCTAGGACCACTCCAAAAGCACATCTGACACCCGTCTTTTCAGACATAGATCTGGCTGGAGGTGTACCTAGAGAGAATCTCACTGGAGATTTACCCACTTCCTTACCTGCCCAAACAGGGGGGGAGAAAGTCACGATTTTCTTTGTGAAGGGATAGAACCTGTGAGTAATTGTTTTCTATGTATTTAGGGGAAATCAGAGGGAAATTTTTTTTTTTTTTCGCCACACCACACAGCATGCGGGATGTTAGTTCCCCGACCAGGGATGGAAGCCATGCCCCTTGCAGTGGAAGTACCGAGTCCTAACCACTGGACCACCAGGGAAGTCCAAAATCAGAGGGATTTAAACTCAGGAACAGATGAGTAAACACATACGCTCATCATGAATACGATTTAGGGAATTCCCTGGCGGTCCAGTGGCTAGGACTCGGCGCTTTCACTGTCATGGCCTGGGTTCGATCCCCGGTTGGGGAGCTAAGATCCCACATGCCGCAGGGCACGGCTAAATAAATACAACGTAAAGCAATCCATTTATTTCCCACCAAATTTACCTGTTCAGTTTACTCAATAAATACCTAAACACCTTCTGTCTGTAAGATATTGTGAGGAATAGAAGCATTAATCAGAATGATTCCTGCCCTGAGGGTGCCGCTGGAGAGTCCGGAATATATGACAGCTACACAAATAACTACGCAATGAGACAGACTCTGCTAAGGTCATCTCAAAGGTCTAGAGTTAGGCGGGTGGAGCAAAGACTGAGGGAGACTGGGGAATAGGGACTCTGCAAAAGGGCAAGAATAAGGAGGGACGCCTCAGGCGGAGGACAGACGCTCTTTGAGCCCAGACAAGCAGGCAGGAAATTGCAGGGACTTGGTTTGTTTGAACTGAGAGCACAGCTTCAGGGGTGGTGGGTTCAGGCTGTGAAAAGCCTCATCAAGGATTCAGGAAATGCAGTGGATGCTGGGGCGCCAGTGAGGCGTGTGGGCAGGAAGGGGCGGTGGCCAGAGAAGTATTTTAGGGAGGGGAGGCTGGCAATGGCCAATGGAATGAAGGGAAAGAAGGATTAAAGGAAGGAAGACTAGGGACTTCCCTGGTGGTCCAGTGGGTAAGACCCCAAGCTCGCAATGCAGGGGGCCCAGGTTCCATCCCTGGTTGGGGAACTAGATCCCGCGTGGCGCAACTAAAGATCCCACGTGCCGCAACTAAGATCCTGCACAGCCTAAATAAATTAATGAATTAATAATAAGGGAAGGAAGACTAGTTAGGGACCAATAACACAGAGTCCAAGCATGAGGTGACAGAGTGAGAGTGTCCATTGGGAATTCACAGGAGGGGGTGGGTGGTAAAATCTCCCCTCCGGCCCTCCCCCTCCCTTCACTCTTTCCACTGCGCAGGAGAGGGACCAGGGCTGCAGAGAGAAACACCGGCAAGCTTTGCACTGAAGGCTTCAAAAGCAAAGAAATTTACTAGCTGGAGCTACGAACCTGGCCTTGGAGGTCCCTCACTCCTGTCCCATACCCACTCCCCTCCCCCGATTAGACCCAGAGGCTGATGTAAACCCAAGAGATCTATAGTTTCTGGCTATCAGTGCAGCCTGGCTGCTCAGGACTCCAGACAAGAGCAAAACTCCCTCCTGTGGGCCACGGATGGGCGATAAAATGTATCTCTTCAGGCTACATCGAAATCCTCAGTAAATTTATGGAGATTCCCACTGGTTTATGATAAAAGAGCTTTCTCCCCACTCTGTGCTCTGTGGTCACTGCACGGCTGGGTTTTGTGCACTCAAATCTACAAAGGCTCCACATTTCTGGAAGGATTGCCTAGTTGACATGTATAAAGAACACTATCTCGCCCACTTGTCTCGGGGAATTTACTTAATCAATCTTTTTCCATTCCTTTGCTCCATCTTGTTTTGATTCAGAGAAATCTACATGGTAGAACATACTAGATAAAGACCACCAAGGCCAGCTTCTAGTTCTACTTGTCTCTAACTAGCTGGATGATGTTTTCTTTTTTATATTTTTATTTGTTTATTTTTTGGCTGCATTGGGTCTTTGTTGCTGCGTGCAGGCTTTCTCTAGTTGCAGCGAGCAGGAGCTACTCTTCATTGCGGTGTGCAGACTTATTGCGGTGGCTTCTCTTGTTGCGGAGCACGGGCTCTAGGTGCATGGGCTTCTGTAGTTGTGGCACGTGGGCTCTAGAGCGCAGGTTCAGTAGTTGTGACCCACGGGCTTAGTTGCTCCGCGGCATGTGGGATCTTCCCAGACCAGGGCTCGAACCCCTGTCCCCTGCATGGGCAGGTGGATTCTTAACCACTGCGCCACCAGGGAGGTCCCTCTAGCTGGATGATTTTAAGTAAGATCTGAGCCTTGGGGACCTTATCTGTTCTATCGGGAGAATGACCTGATAATCTTGCATGTTCCTTACAGTAATAATATCTTATGATTCTCCCCCATTTTCCCACAAGGGATTCTCTACCCAGCCCGGCTCTGTACCTTGAGTGATTCCCTCTTGAGAATAAGCTATGTTCTCCACACCATAGTTCTGTTTCATGAGCTGGGGTTTACAGAAAGCATCCTCCACAGGGTAATCCATGGGGTTTCGTTGCTTTGTGAGCAGCTGCAGCTCGGGTGCGACATAAGCCAACAGGAAAACCCAGCCATTGGCCACCAAGGCTGAACTGAGGATGGTGTCATCCCACTGGGGGCCGGGGGTAGGAACAAAGAGCAGGGTGATCCACGTCACCCAGATGGCAAGGGAGAGGAACATAGTGAGGTAGATGTGGGCCCCGTGTCTCTTCCAGCCAGTGAAGGATCCCCGAAAGGTGAAAGAGGCCGTGAAGAAGGTCAGCATCATCAGGAAGAAGACGTAGATGAGCAGCATGACAAAGTCCTCGTTGCGCCGAGGAGGAGAAAGCTCGGAGAAGATGTTGACGTTGGTCCTGTTCATGGTGAGGACCACATACTCGATGGCGATGACATCCTGCACCAGACTGAAGCCCAGGGCCAGGCCCAGCATCGCCAGCATGGAGAGGGGCTGCCTCCCTTGGACCAGCTTCGTCAGGTTGAAGGCGTGAACCAGGAGGCAAGAGAAGCAGAGGGCAAAGAGGATGCCGAAGAGGAAGAAGCGTGTGGGCCCCGTGCTGCCGTCAAGGCTGATGATGAAGGCGAAGGGGAGGCCGAAGATGCCCAGCACACCCAGGAGAAAGAGGAACTGGGTGGGGAGCACTTTGCGCCTGTTGGAGTCCTGGACCTTGCAGATGAAAACCAGGAGGGCGATCATGAAGGCCACCGAGGTCACAGCGCCCACCGACGCCAAGGCCTCTAAGACGATACCCCAGGCTGCCTCCTTATCGCAGAGCCTGTAGTACCTGGGGTCCAGGTTCGAGCGGCAACCATTGGGGGCACCTGTGGCCATTCTCGTCCTGCAAGAAAGCAAAGTTGCAAGGTGGGGGTGAATCTCCCCACAAACTCAGGCACAGAGGACCAAAAACGATTCAGAAACTATCTTGTATATTTAGCCAGGGTTTTGCCCCTGAACTTACAACGTTAGATCAAGCTACTAGCTGTTCTCCACCTCTCATGGCAAATTCTAAAGGCTGATGAAGGGAAGAAACAATCTCATACCTTCCTCCCCGCAATTTAACTATATTAATATTTACCCTGAAGCCAGAGGGCCCAGGGCTCTGATGAGGTGTTTCAGAGTCACATCTCAAAAAATACGTCACAGATAACTTGCCAGGGTTCCTGATATGTTTGGCTAGTGTTTCCTTAGGAATTGGTGAACGTGGAAATATGTAACCGTAAAGTTAACACTTTGGGAATTCCCTGGCGGTCCAGTGGTTAGCACTCAGTGCTCTCACTGGTGGGGTCCGGGTTAGATCCCTGGTCAGGCAACTAAGATCCCACAAGCAGGGCAGTGTGGCCAAAAAATTTTTAAAGTAAACACTTTAAACATAATTTGTCAGTCTCCAGTTTTTTGCCACCTTGGGCCCAGCCTCAGATATTATTTGTAAGCATCCCATTCTCTCATGGACAAGAGGAGTTATCTGAACTGTGGATTTCTCTGCGGAAGGCCAGCCTTCCCCTCTCAGCCACTGGGTCCTCTTCTTCAGCTCTGATGTCACATATTATTTTCCCTTCTTAATTAAGGTTTGTAAGGATGGCTCTGCTAATCCAGAAAAGCAATGGAAGGGGTCTTCCCTGTCATAGGGTTGGCCACGCGTTGTGGCTCGTTGGATCTTAATTCCCCAGCTAGGGATCGAACCCATGCCCTCGGCAATGAAAGTGTGGAGTCCTAACCACTGGACCGCCAGGGAATTCCCCAGAGTGAGCTCTTAATTAGCTACCTATAAGGAGGGATGGCCTGGATGACACAAAAACAGTGGGTGACCCAACAAAAAATATTACCAATAGCTAATGCTCATTTTTACTATGAATCAGAAACCCTTCTAATCACTTCTCATATATATATTTATTAGTTTAATTTGATAGCAATCCTATAAGGTAAAAATGATTATCCCTATTTGACAGATGAGGAAACTGAGGCAGGGAGAGATCAAGTTACTTGCCCAACATCACACAGCCAGGAAATGGCAGACGCAGGATTTGAATCCAGGTTACCTGGCTCTAGGTGAGGATCCCTGGTCTTAACTACTATAGGTGCTACCTCTCCAGGGAGTTCTAACTGGCCTTAGAATGCAATCTGAGATATTCCCTCCCCCTTCTTTCCCTCGTCAGATGCCCCATAAACCAGCTATTTGTGGTCCTAATTCTACTCTCTTAGTTCAGCCCCATGAAGGATAGGCGCTCCCAGGTGATAGATGATCCACAAAGCAGGTAATCTACTCACCCACTCAGGGATAATGAGAAATCAACTTGAGGCAGAGCAGCTTACTTCCTATACATCTGTCCTTAATCTCCCAGATCTGCTGCCTTTTTTCCTTCCACAAGTTCCATGTCAATTTTAGACCCAGCTGATTTCCCAAACCCCATGAAATCAAATTCCTTGGGATTCAGGGCACACGTCGGAAGATGAGTTGGGAAATGGGAAGAGAAAGGAGTTTGTATATTTCCTCAAAATGGATAGTTCTCAAATTCCAAAGCCAGTGTCAGATAAGACGTTGAAATTCAGGACCGCTGTGGTTTTAACAGCTTCTCAACAAAACTATAATTTTTTTCTGAATTATATTACTGTTTATAAGTTTCTATGGCACGATTCTTTTTGATTTGTTGTATACTATTTATGCGTGTAATCTTTTTTGTTTTCTAGTGTTTCTTTTTCTGATAGGATTGCTCACTCAACAGAGAAATCTTTTGAATTGACTAGAAGACACATATTGGGGGGGTGGGGAGCGGGGGCAGAGTTAGAAGAAGGGAAGGCTCATTGAGACCCCCTCCATAGAAAAGCACACGTGAGAGCTCTTGGCCTCTCCTAGTGCCAAATTGGGAGAAAATGTGCATAAAGAAATCAACAAGAAGAAGACAGCTAGGATTGAGAAGCAAAACATACCCAGAGTCCTGCCTCTTTCCTTATAGCAGAAAAAACAGCTCAGAATTTCTGCACCACATACCCATAAATGCTTATAAACAAGATTTCTCGGGCCCTTCACAGCATTGTAGGGGTGCTGTGATCAACCCAAGACGAAAAAGAACGCCCTCCCCTCCCCTTCCATCCTGTCTCTTCAAAACCAAATCACAAAATATGACACAAATGAACTTATCCATGAGACAGAAACAGACTCACAGACATAAAGAACAGACTTGTGGTTGCCAAGAGGGAGGGGGTGGGGGAGGGATGGATTGGGAGTTTGGGTTAGCTGATGTAAACTATTATATGTAAAATGGATAAACAAGGTCCTACTGCATAACACAGGGAACTATATTCAATATCCTGTAATAAATCACAATGGAAAAGAATTTTTTAAAAAAAGATCAAGGACTTCCCTGTTGGCACAGTGGTTAAGAATCTGCCTGCCAAGGCAGGGGACACAGGTTCGATCCCTGGTCCGGGAAGATCCCACATGCCGCGGAGCAACTAATCCCATGTGCCACAACTACTGAGCCTGCGTTCTAGAGCCCAGAAGCCACAGCTACTGAAACCCGTGCGCCTAGAGCCCGTGGTCCGCAACAAGAGAAGCCCGTGCACTGCAACGAAGACCCAACGTGGTCAAAAATAAATAAATAAATTTATTAAAAAAAAAAAAAAGATCAAATCACAAGACGGAGCACAGCGAGGTGGGACACATAATGAACAATTGCTGGCTGACTCTGCCGAGCAAACAAGCATATCCTCCTCCACGTAGACAGAATTCAAACACTGCTTCCCTTAAAGATGCAAACTATGGGCTTCCCTGGTGGTCCAGTGGGTAAGACTCCACTCTCCCAATGCAGGGGTCCCAGGTTCAATCTCTGGTCGAGGAACTGGATCCTACATGCCACAACTAAGAGCCCACATGCAGCAACTAAGAGTTCCCATGCCGCCAACGAAGATCCCAAGTGCTGCAACTGAGACCCGGCTCAGCCAAAATAAATAAATAAATTTTAAAATAATAATAATAAATAAAGATGCAAAATCATCTCTTCAGTTCAATGAGATAGTTGTGTCCCAGCATTGTTTTATTCCCATAGCCATTAGGAAAAAATTATATATATGTATATGCCATATAACACATACATACGTATATGAATGACTATTATGTAGATGCAAGAATTTTATGTGTGGTGTGTTCGAATAAAATAAATAGCTTAAATAATTGATGGCTTAAATCCATCTTCCATACTTTGTAATGAAATTTGCCTCTCCAAGCTTAACTTTTTTTTTTTTTTTTTTGGCCACGTTGGGTGGCATGCAGGATCTTAGTTCCCCGAGCAGGGATCAAACTCGTGTACCCTGGAGGGGAAGCGCGAAGTCTTAACCACTGGACCTCCAGGGAAGTCCCTGCAAGCTTCACTTTGCAATATAGCCATTCATTCAACCAGCACCACTATGTGTCAATCATGTCAATCACTCTTCTAGATGCTCAATGGTAAAGGGGAAAACAGACATCAGACATGATCCTTGCTGTAGTAGAAGAAATGGACAGATGGACGTAATCTGCCACCACTGCCACGACCTTCCTGTGGCCTTCCCTGGCCAGGGGTCTGTCACCTGCAGTCCACTCCAGGGAAATGACACCCTGGTCATCCCGACTGCATGCAGAGCACAGAGCAAAGAGTGGGTTACGTTCCACCTCCCCAGGGCAGTGCAGAATGAGACACAGGAGGAAAAAGAAAGGAAAATGCACTTCAGATACAGGCAACCCCTGAAATACAAGGCCCCCCAAAGTCTGATACACTTGGTCCTGGGTGGAACCAGACAGGGAGAGGGGACACGCCCCCTTGTCTATGCTGAGGATGCAGAAGAGGAAGAGCTGGGTCTAATTCAAGGGCAGCGTGACAGGGGAAGGGACCAGGATCCAGGATTCTCTTCACTCACCACCTCCCCACCTCACTCCCTCTCAAATTAATCCTAAGGGCAGTGTCCAGCCGGAAAGGTATTTCTCTCACCTCCCTGCCCTTCCCCGGAAACTGCTCCTTCCCCACCCCTCAGGGCTGTGCTGTTTGTTGACAGGTAGTTGTTATCATAATTACATGATAATTATAAAGGAATCTGAACTTGATGACTGTCAGTCTTGAGAGGCTGATGAGGTTTTCACCTAAAGGAAGGTCCTGGTGCTGCACAGAGGTATGGTAGGGCAGAGGCTTCCTGCTCCCAACTTGGACCTCTAGGCCCTTCCCATCTGTGCAGCTGTGCAGGAAGGGTTTGTGTCTTGGGGCCTCCTGGTGCCCACAGACCGGGGTCCCACAGTGTAAGCACATAAGGTAAGGGGTCCCTGGAGAAAGAGGACCAGGCATGGCTTTCTTGACGTAAGAGAAGCCATTTTTGGCCTAAGTTGTTTTGTGACAAGTTTTGTGACAAGTGCTTGGTCACAGTGCTTGCCCATGAACAGGTTTCAGAAATTAATGATCTTTTTTTTTTTTTAAGATTTTTTTTTTGGATGTGGACCATTTTTTTAAAGTCTTTATTGAATTTGTTACCATATTGCTTCTGTTTTATGTTTTGGTTTTTTGGCCAGGAGGCATGTGGGATCTTAGCACCCCGACCAGGTATCAAACCCGCACCCACTGCATTGGAAGACGAAGTCTTAACCACTGGACCACCAGGGAAGTCCCAGCAATTAATGACCTTAAGGGAACAAAAGAATGCAGAAATAAGCAACTGTGATCACGCAAGAGAAGTACCAACAGCAAAGATAATAATAGATCAGTTGTAAAGACTCCCAGCTCTGCTCAAAGATTAGCCTGAAGTGCTCAACCACCAGATCAACTGGAGTCTAGGGGTGATGGTGTTGACCTTTTCTGACCCTCATGACTTCAGTCAACA